GCTGTCTATAGCACAGATTCTGTCCAGCAGGATTGAAAATTACTTTTAATCCATCCATCTTCCTCACACATACATATGCAATTGAGTTCTATGCACGGATGTTTGCTTGTGAAAGCTCACAGACATACGTTTTTTAGTTTTGTATCAATGTCTTGAAAATATCCTCGTCATTGTATGAGGTCTTCCACATTTATGCTATTCACTACTGTGCTTGTCGTGGGATTCGATTTGAGACTACTTTTCTTGATCTTCGAATTAAAACAGCCTGCAGATGCATCTGTGTCGGACCCCTTAAGCACAAACGATATCTGTAGGTATCAATTTCTAATCATTTAGGAGTAAGGACTTGAAACAGCTAATAATAAAATTAATCAAGATCTTGCCCAAATTTAAAAGCTTAGTAGTAGTCATAATCTTCACTTTAAAGACAAAAATGTCGGTAAACGCAAATATAACAAAAAGGAGTGTTTTAAAAAATGACGTTAACAGCAATTAAAAGGTAATGAAACAGTATTTGTGGACCATCCGAAGCACCATCTAATTGTTCAGTGCTACACTATTCTCAGAGTTTTATTTGCAAATGTGACTATATTACATAAATCAGCTTAGTGGTTGACTATCCGTATTTAGATATTAGAACAAATTCGTGATCAAAGTATTACGAATACATGTTGCAGACTTGTAAATGATCTCAGATAATATGATCATATACTAAGTGACATATAAATCCGAACACCCAGTTTAAATGGTTTTATTTTAATAAAATTTTGTATAAGTACTTAATGAAGCATAATAAGTAAATGATAAAAATTTCAAAATGATTGCACTGCTTTAAAGCCCTTTGACCTTTAATAATGTGTGGATGCACCCTGATGTGCTACGCATTCTTCAACGCGCCTAGGCATGCTTCTGATCAGGTGGTCAATGTCCTCCTGTGGTATCTCATTCCAGGCAACCACCAACTCCTCTCGAAGTGCTTCTAGAGTCTGAGGAGGACGTTGCAAATTGAGCAATCTCCTACCCATCATATCCCACACGTGCTCAATTGGGGATAAGTCGGGAGATCTTGGTGGCCATGGTAACAATGTGACATCATTATGTTGAAAGAAGTCTATTGTGACTCTTGCAACATGTGGTCGGGCATTATCGTGTTGGAAAGTTGGATCTGCCTGGGTGTCAAGATAGGGTAAAAGATGGGGTTCTAGAACTTCGTGGATAACGCTGCGCGTTCATGTTACCTCTGATGAAGATTAAAGGTGAGCTGGAACCATAAGCTATAGCACCCCAAACCATAACTCCAACAGTGTGATGAACATGTCTTTCAACAAAAAACTGTGGATTCCTCCTTTCACCACGTGGCCTTCTAACCCTGGCACGACCATCGTGCATGCCTAAACAAAATCGAGACTCGTCACTAAAGACAATACTGTTCCATTCCTGATTCCAGAGTGACCGTTGTCTGCACCACTCAAGGCGATTACGTCGGTGTTCTCGAGCTAAAGGGAGGACCCAGTGTGGCCGGTATGAAAACAAGCCAAAACTTCTCATTCGTCGGTAAACACTTCGCATGCCAATAGGTCTTCGGTATTCTGCAAACCATTCATTTGCAATGGACCTGGTAGTGGAGAAACGGTCGCTTAAGGCCAATAATCTTAGGCGGCGATCGTCACGGTCTGTTGTTCTACGGCGGCGTCCAGTGCCCCTTGCTCTTTGCGTACGGCCTTCTCGAAGCCATACCTGACAACACCTAACCACAGTGTCTACACTTCTTTGTACTCTAACTACAATTGCCCGAAAAGAAAGTCCAGCTTCCCGAAGTCCCACTATACGGCCCCTATCAAACTCACTAAGTTGACGAAATCGTACAGGTCTCCGTACTCTAGGCATCGTAACCGATCGTAAAGGATGTCAAGAACCAAAATCCGCCAACGTTGATTCTTTACTGCGGCTGAAATATTCATTTTTAGAGCGTTGGTGAATTAAAAAAAAGCAGTATAAAAACCGGAATGTCCAACTGATATGGCTGAAAATTTTTTCACTTGTTATTTACAGTAAGATAAATACATTCACCAACTTTTATTAAAATAAAACCATTTAAACTGGGTGTTCGGATTTATATGTCACTTAGTATATATCGAAGGAGATTAATGACTTCAAATGGATGAAAACTGATAAAATGTATAAATACCAGAAGTCTGACTCATAGGGTTTTTTATTTAAAAATATCGTCATATTTAGTGACCATATTCATACTTAGAGGAGATATGCATGGGATTAATATTAGATATCGAGA